AGACAAAGATAAGACTGAGAAAGAGACCCGAGTGAAGGATGAATAATCCCTTCAGCTTCCTCTGCTGGCCGTCAGCTCTCTCTCTCTCTCTCACCCTGACCCAGCTTAGAAATAATAACTTAATTCCCATTAAACTCTCCTCTCCTCCCTCACACACACTTACAGAGGCAGACAAAGGCAGAATATTAGCTGTCGGAAACGTGCGGGATGGACGAACGTGACAGAGAGGTGTTAGATGAGGGTTAAACAGATGGACAAACAGAAAGAAAGAGAGAGAGAGAGAGCGAAACAGATGGACTAAGAGGGTGAGAGGCAAACAGCTGAGAGATGAGGACAACACAGATGGACATGTAGACTGCTATTGTGCATGCGTGTGTGTGTGTGTGTGGGGGGAAAATCCAGAGAATTGTTATGCCACAATAACATACTGCTCATTTATACATCTGCCGTGTGTGGATAAAGAGATATTGCCACCGAATAAGTAGCTTCAATGTACAACTGTTTACTACTTTTTGTTAGTATAGCCTGCAGCAGCACTTTTCAGAGTGACAGTAATTCAGCTATTTAGCATTTATTTATTTTTTATTTGATCGGAAGCCAGCTTGAACTGGGTAATTACATTTTAAATCTATATTTTTTTGTAATTGAGCATTCAGTCAATAAAGTAAAATAAGAAAATAATCGAGTGATTCATAGTTCAAATCATTTATTTATTTAATTTAATTTTTTTGGAAGCTAGCTCCAGTTCGAACCATGCGTTAAGGTCCAGCTAGAAACTACATTAAGGCCGTGTGTCCACCAAAGCGTTTTTAGCCAGCTGAAAACACTATAGACGCCGTGCTGTGGACGCTTGAGAGTGTTTTGGCAGCGCAGTGTTTTTTCTGTTGACGTTTCGTTGCTATGATACAGAATATACGGTATGCAGCAGTTTGAATGTTGTGACAGTTGGTCGGTGTGGTTTAGTCCCGCCCCTCCTCCACTGTGATTGGACGGCTGGGTAAAAAGTGACAGTGATGAGCACTGCGTTTTATCCAAAGTTGAACATTTTTCAACTCCCAGCGACCAGTAAAAACGCCGGGCGCTCGGCGCTTCAGCGTGAAAAAAAAAACGCTCAGCGCCTCGTCACGCTCATGACGTTTAAAAAACGCGGCGCTCCCATTGAAAACAATTGAAAACATACGCCAGGGGCGTGGAAAAACGCTTTGGTGGACACACGGCCTAAAGGAAATTCAATTTTAAATCATTTTCCCCCCCAATTAACCGTTCACTCATCATAACCTAAAATTACAATAATAGTTTTAAGTGGGTGATTTTATAGTTTAATTGTTTTATTTATTTGTTTTAACGCTATACTGTTGTTTGCGAACTGTAGCTTCAAAAAGTCTGATTTCCATTTAGTGAATGGGTTCGTTTGTACAGTTAATGCAAATTCGCTAAATAATTCACTGATTCACGTCCATCTTGTGTGAGTGGACTTCTTATTGGGTTTAGATCTTCTAATTTGTAGTGATATATTTAGTAAAACACTGCTGCTAGTTTCATAGTAACTGCTTGATTAACCAATTTGAGTCTCTGAGCAGCATTTTAGGTCTTCATTTTCCTTTTCACATTGGATTATGGGTAAAATAGCATCAGTCGGTGTACTGTACATATTGGTTGTACACTCTAAAAAATTTTGGGTTGTTTCAAACCATGTTTGGGTCAAATATGGCCAACCGTTGGGTTTAAAATTGAATAAAAAATGCAAACCAACACCCAAACATGGGTTGAAAAACCCAGCATTTTTTAGTACAGTGCTTTATGGCAAAGTCTATATATGAAGAGTTCAGATGCAAAAGCCTCTAAATGCAATTTGAAATTTTCTTCTTTAATGATGATTTTTATCAAACTTGTATATTTAAGTTCAGTAATTTCACTTAAATAACAATTAATAGGTAATTATCATTGCCATTTAAGTGAAATCACTGAACTTGAATATACAAGTTTGATAAAAATGATAGAAGAAAATTTCAAATGGCACTTAGAGGCTTTTGCATCTGAACTTATATATTCAAAGACAGTGTGCGGTACTATGATTGGTGAGGAACTGCAACATGTACAGTTACAGAATATGTCCCGCCTTCTATATAAAAGAGCCAATCGATGATTTGTAAAGTCATTGCATCACTGCAGCTGTTGTTTGAAACTCAGGGGTCTCATTTATAAAAGTGTATAGGATCCTTACTAAAAGTGTACGTGCGCCTGAAAGCCAAAAATGACGTATGGCAAAAAATATTCAGATTTATAAAACTGTGCATACGCCAGAACCTGCGTGAAATTCCCTTAAAGGGAAAGTTCACCCAAATATGAAAGACTTTCGTTCATCTTTGAAATACGCATAAAGATATTTTTGATTAAATCTGAGCGCTGGATCACTCCTCCATAGGCTTCTATTATGATTTAAACATCGTTAAAATAGTCTGAGTGTCTACAGTGGCTCAACCTTAAGTTTATCAAGCGAACGAGAAAACTTTTTGTGCGCAAAAACAAAACAAAAATAACGACTTTAACTATTCAGGAGTGATCTAGCTCTCAGATTTTATCAAAAATATCTTAATTTGTGTTCCAAAGATGAGCGAAAGTCTTACGGGGTTGGATCAACATGAGGGCGACTAATTACTGACAGAATTTTTCATTTTTGGGTGAACAAACTTTAATAAATCCCAGTCAGCAGAAGATGTGTCTGCTCCCCGACATAACCATATATGGAGCTGACGACGCCTTGTTTTACTATGCATATCCTCATCTGCATATCATGCATATTCATCCACGTGATACCATGTTAAGGAAAATATGAAATACGGATGTGCCGTCATATTACATTGCTAAAAATCATTTTTCTTGCCTTGTTTTTGAATAAATAAATCATACATTTCAGAGAACGTCTCAATTTTTTCCACTGGCCATTTTATTTATTTAAACTGTTCTTGTAAACATGCACTGTATTTATGATTAGGACTTAAAGTGTGTTTCCTTCATCTGCCGTCAGTCCCTCAGATCGCCAAACTGCTCCGTCTCCAGAATGTTTTCCCGTCAAGTTTGTTTTTATAAATCACAACTTATGCGTCTGAAGTGTCGTACGCCTCTTTAAGGGCCTGTTTTGTGCATAAATGAGGCCCATGGTTCCTGAGACCATGTACCCTTAAAAATATACCCTTTTTAACGCTGTTTGAGCATAAGAAACAACATTTATGGGATATAATCCATAATTCTGATTCGAATTTGAAATGTGTTATTTAATTGTGAGTTCGGCAAGCAGTTTTTGAAATGAAATTTTGCTCAGAATTCAGACAATACTACAAAGTGTTTGACGCTTGATGTAGTGCAGCATTTATGGAATTCAAAACAATTTCAGACACATAATATTATCAACATTTTTAATTATTTTCAGATTGCCACGAGTTTTTAAACATTTTATCACATAAAAATGGATTAAAAATGTTTTATTTTTTCGAGTTGTTTACATTTATAAGAAATAGAAAGGCAATAAGCAGTGAACACTATTCTATTGTTTCCTCGTAGCCAAAGGTTTATTTGGCACGTTTATGTTCCATGTTTCTCACAGGTCCCCTGTGACCTTATTGGTCGGCTGAGCTAATGAATTTTCTGCCCGGCCAATCATCAGCCCCGTATCAGTCCAGAAACACCTGGTGCTCCTCGTATCAGACACACTGGATATCTGGACGCAGAGGTCTTTTTTAGCCCCTGGTGAAAGGTGCCCTTTCACAGTGATCCTGGATTAGTCTGCCTGCCCACAGCTCAACCGTTGCAATTATGACTTTGTCAGAAAGTATTAAAAAGGGAAATGCCTTTTTTATTAGTAAAGCTACACGTTTATTACAGACAGTTTTTCCCACATGTGATTTTTTTATTTTTATTTTTATATTTGGATGTTACGGCCGTAGAGGATCTCAGTTACTGGAAACAACAAACACATCTCATTACCTCATGGAGTTATTTATTCACATGGAACCAAACGGTCTCTGAAGTCATTATTTTCACAGGATGTTTTTAGAAAAGAGTATTATCCAAGTGAGAAAATAGCATTAGATTTAGGTGACACCTGTTGTGCCTGTATGCTGTATAAAATGCATTATAAATTTAGGGGAAATTGTTCTTCATATCTCAAACTCAAAGTCTTCAGATTTACCTTCTGCCTTTCTGGGTATGCAATATACTTTATTCCTGTGATCAAAGCATCATTACTCCAGTCTTCAGAGTCACACGATCCTTCAGAAATCACTCTAATATGATGGTTTGATACTCAATGTAGTCTTTATTTACTTTCACTTTTGATCAATGTAATGCGTCCTTGCTGAAAATTTCTTTCAAAGACAAGAACAAAAAATTCTTACTGACCCCAAACTTTTCAACGAAAGTCTACTGTATGTGCCAACAGTAATAGTATCTTTTAATATATTAATATTTAGAAAGACTTGAGCATAATATTGCATTTACAGAATGAAACAATCACCCTAAATATCAAATGAGACCAAGCCTTTAATAAATAATAATATTATTGAATAATTTTAATCTTTTTAGCTGAAGTCTTCAACCAAATTATTTGCAAACTGTTAAAAAATATATTGTATTACAATAGATCATATTATAATTCCCTTTAATACCGTATATGAAGAGTTCAGATGCAAAAGCCTCTAAATGCCATTTGAAATTTTCTTCTTTAATGATGATTTTTATCAAACTTGTATATTTAAGTTCAGTAATTTCACTTAAATGGCAATGATAATTACCTATTAATTGTTATTTAAGTGAAATTATTGAACTTAAATATACAAGTTTGATAAAAAAATCATCATTAAAGAAGAAAATTTCAAATGGCATTTAGAGGCTTTTGCATCTGAACTCTTCATATACAGGCTTCATAGAAATTGAATTTGGGAATGATTTTGTGAATTTCTTAACATATTTTGTGTTTTTCGACCTTTTATTCATTCCTTCAGCTTCATTCGAGTGTGGACAGGGGTGATGGTCGCACGAAATACATTTTAAAAGGTGAAGGGGCCGGCTCGGTGTTCGTCATTGACAGCAGGACGGGGAATATCCACGTCACCAAACCCCTAGACCGCGAGGAGAAGGACCAATACCGCCTTATCGCCACGGCAACAGACCGACAGACCGGCCGAGCCCTGGAGCCATCCTCCCAGTTCATCATCCGCGTGCAAGACATCAACGACAACCCACCTGTGTTCCAGGGCGATCTGTACAGCGCCACCGTGCCTGAGATGGCCAACATCGGTACTGCGCTCAGATGCTCTCCTCTCACTGTTGTCATTGAGCTGTGTTTGGAAGAAAAGATGGAGGTTCACATGCTCACTGAACCTTGACGTAGTCAAAAATATCTCTTATTTCGTCTCTTTCTTTCCCTAGGGACATCGGTTATTCAAGTGACAGCCACAGATGCTGATGACCCAACGTATGGGAGCAGTGCCAAACTGGTGTATTCAGTGATTCAAGGCCAGCAATACTTCACTGTGGACCCGCAGTCAGGTGTGTGCTCTGTTAGATTCTGTAAAATGCGATGTTTCTTATTTTTAAGTGAAATTGACTATTGGGCTGTGGTCCAACAACCTCATGCACTCGGCTTTTAACAAATGATTCAGAGTAAGGACTTAATCGCAGAAAGATGTAAACATGACACGAGCAACCCGTTTACGTGCAATCTTCATTATTCTGAATATGCTGAGAAGCGTGGTTATTTTTAACAGCGTTATTAAGTGTTGCGAGTGTTGCTTGTACTTTATTAGACAGGTGAGCAAATGTACATAAAGCTAATCAATGTTTAGCTCAACATGATGAAATGTTAGAATATGATCTGTAAGTTATTCTCATGTTGATCTAGCTTAACGTACTTAGTCATTGCATTCAACACACTCAAATGCTATTTAGTGTGATAGTGTAACTGTTAGAGCATTCCTCTAATAAACTGAACGGTGTGAAAAATTCAGCACTTGTGTGTAGTTCGGTAGAATTAAATGTCCTTTTTCCTTTATATCTGCGGGACTCGCGTTGCGTGTGGCGCTGGTATACGTCTAGCAATCACGCTCTGCAGTCATGATAAAAACATCAATGTATTCACTCATCCATAAAAGATCCATCAGCTTGACGACAAGATCCATAATTCAGCTTAATGCGGAATATACTTCATTAATATACGCCTTTGTGATTGTAAGAGGTTAGCGACCCCTGGTGGCGAAAAATCCTGCATATTGTACCTTTAATGCTGCGTCCCAATTCGCATACTATCCGTCCTAAATAGTATTCGAAAATAGAATTAGTACGTCCCAAATCGTAGTATGTTGAAATGAGTGTTTCAAAGATACCCGGATGGTCTACCTTTTCCAGTCAGAATCCGAAGTGTAGATCGATGCACACTCTAACGGCTGATATTACCCACAAACCATTGCGCGTTGGACGAGGATTCGGTTAGAACTACAAACACGAGTAAAAAGTGTTAAAAAACTACAGACACGTAGTCGATACGGAGGACGGTTGTGTAGAGAGGTTTAGATAAAGAGCTTTGAGTGAATAATTATCAGTATCTAACCTGACGAAAATGAATTATTCAATGTTGTCCACATTATATTGCATTTGCAGCAGCATTGTGAACTTTTGTAAAGACACGTTTAGCCATTACGTTTTAAATGCATCCTTATATTCAAATTGCAAACACGAGGAGAGCATGAAAGACCCACAACTGGCAGATGAGCGTGCTCTCCGAAACGGTAGGAAATCAAATTAGATAGAATGGAGGATTTTAACTGATTGACAGGGCAGTTTACGGTGACAGGATGCACGCAGCACGCGACAGAGCCGTCCGTTAAAGATGACGTCATAGTATGTCCCAAAGCTTGCCTACTCTTTTGCAACACACTCAAAAGTATGTACTTTTTCCTCACAAAAGGGGACATACTTTTAGGGCGTAGTATAAGTAAGCGAATTGGGACGCAGCAAAAGTTTTGCATGGCACCTAACTTTTTCTGCTGCAGTTTATTTCTGCTACGAAAGAAGCGATATCGCCATCTACAGGGCATTGAAGGTCAGCATGGCTACTTTAAAGGGTTAGTTCACCCAAAACGACGAGAACACTTTTGTGCACAAAAAAACAACAAAAATAACGACTTTATTTCAACTATTGGTTTATTTCTCCCTCTGCGTGAGTCAGGTTACTAGTTTAATAGCGTAAGCTTCTGTTATTGTACGTCACACGCATCACACACACATGACCAGCGTCGGCCAATAGTGAGCCTACGTGTGACGTAGCTCTACGCAATCACACTACGTTAACTGACTTACAGGCTCATGGAGAAGGAAGTGAATAGTTGAAATAAAGTCGTTATTTTTGTTGTTTTTTTGCGCACAAAAGTGTTCTCGTCGTTTGATAAAGTTAAGATTGAGCCCCTGTAGTCACTTGGACTATTTTAACGATGTCTTTAATGACTTTTCGGGGACAGCAAGAGCCAGTCCCTCAAGAAGCCTATGGACTGTATGCAGGAGCGATCTTAATATCTTAAATATCTTAATTTGTGTTGCGAAGATGAACGAAGGTCTTACGGGGTTGGAACAACATGAGGGTGAGGAAATACTGACAGAATTTTCATTTTTGGGTGAACTAACCCTTTAAAGTCCCTGTAAAGTCAAAATTAAGTATGCGTTGAGTTTGTCACCACAGAAAAAAAACAAAAAAAAAACATCGAGCCCTGTTTTAGCCCTGCCTAAAAAATCAGGAAAATAGCAATGGTGTCATAGCAACTCCACAATTCAGTACTTCACAGTTCACAGTCTTTGTAATATGTTTAGCAATACATTTATAATGTGTTTAGATTTTTTTTTAGAATTGCTTTTACAGGGACTTTAAGCAGATGTGAGTGCGTTAGCAGGTAGTTGTGAATTCCCGGTGTTTCTTCATACATGAGATGAGGACATGACTGCAGCTGGTGATGAGACCGAAACTAAGCTAGTAGGATTTGAATATTTCATTTCACATAACACTATTTTATTTATCGTTATATTGAAGAAAGCTTTTTGAATGATTTTGGTTTACTTATGCCCTTTTTGAGCACTTGAGCTTGATTAAAACTTGAGTCTTTGGAGACGCTTAAGAGGCTGTGGTGTCGACCTTGATTTATTGCAATATTGAGGTTCAGTTTTATTTCGACTTTAGAAAGTAAATATGTGATTGCTCTCCTCACAAATCAACTGTTTCTTATTTTCACTGGCATGTCTCCTAGGTGAGGAGAACTAGTGCATATTTGAGCCTACATTCAGAACAAGTAAAATACTTAAAGGAGAAAAAAACTTTTGCTGATTATTTACTCACCCTCATGTCATCCAAGGTGTCCATGTCATTCTTTCCTCAAAAAGAAATTAGAAAAGAAATTAAGGTTTTTGATGAAAACATTCCAGCATTTTCTCCATATAATGGACTTCAATGGGAACCAAATGGTTCAAGGTCCAAAAGAGAGTTTCAGTGCAAACTGTTCAAAGGGCTTTAAACGATTCCAGACGATGAATAAGGGTCTTATCAAGTGAAACGATTGCTTATTTAAGAAAAATAACAAAGTTTAAGTTTTATAAGCTCAAATGTTCGCCTTGCTCTGTTCTGTGATGCGCGTTCACGACTCTCCTGCTCGAACTCGTTCATCAAAATGAACAAATCTTTTTTCGTGTCATTTGGTTCATTCAACGAACGAAACGAACGAGTTGACTCGGAAAAAGATTCGTTCATTTTGATGAGTTAAAAAAAGATCATTGTGGTCAATCACAGACATATTTGATGAGCGTGTGAACACAATAGCCAATCAGAGGTTAAAATTTCAGTACCAACTTTGTACCGAAGTCGATACTTTTAACAACACTAGCGCAGACTGATAGGTCCTTAAAGGGATACTTCAGGATTTGGCATTAAGCTTTGTATTTGAATTTGAATTTTGAGAGATTTATGTATTTTTGTCTGATGACACAAAAATGGAATAAATGATCAAATAAATGCAGCTTTGGTGAGAGAAAGACGCTTCTTTTAAAAACATAAAAAAATCTTACCGACCCCAAATTCAAATGTTCCGTATACTGAAGATTTGTTTGACCCATTAGTCAAGTAGTCAGTTCTGTATCCTTCTCCAGCAGTGTGAGTGTGTGGGATGTTCAGTGTGATTCCTTTTAATTCAGTTTAACCTAATTAACTCACTGGCATGAAAAATGCTCAGTATTGCCAAAGTGAGATATGCTGTGAGTGATCTGCTCCTGTGTGTCTCTGCAGGTATAGTTCGCACGGCAGTCCCAGATATGGACCGAGAAACTCAGGCGCAGTACCATGTGGTGCTTCAGGCGAGAGACATGGGCGGCCATCAGGGGGGTCTGACAGGGACCACCACTCTCACTGTGCACCTCAGTGACGTCAATGACAACCCACCGCGCTTCACTCAAAGTGAGTCACACACCCAGCTCTGCTCCAGAACCTCCAAACACATCTGTCGACTGTGATCTATGTCACTCCTCTGTCTTTCTATTCTATTCTATTCTATTCTAATCTAATCTATTATGTTGTAATCTGCTCCAGTTTAGTCTACTATGCTTTATTTTATTCTAGTTGTCTAATCTGGTCTAGTCTAGTTTGGTTTACTCTGTTGTAGTTTAGTCTGTCTAGACTAGTAAATCTATTCCACTTTACTGTTTTATTCCATTCTGTTATGTTTAAGATATTCTATTCTGTTGTTATTTAATCTGCTGTACTTTTATTACTCCCTTTAATTTGTTGTAATCTGCTCTAGTTACTAAGATTTGTTTTATTCTAGTAGAGACTCTAGTTTTAGTTTAACTTACTTTATTTTCTAGTCTTGTGTATGTACTATAATAATCAATTCCACTCTACTGTTCTGTTTTCTGTTCTTAAGATATTCAGTACTGTTTTAATCTACTGTATTTGACTACTCAATTTTATTCTAATCTATAGTCTACCGAACTATTTTCCATTCTAGTCACCTGATTTGATCTGGTCTACTCTGTTATGTTCTATTCTAGAGTAGTCTGCCATATCTTGTTGAGTGTTCTATTCTATTCTATTCTATTCTATTCTATTCTGTTCTGTTCTATTATGTTGTAATCTGCTCTAGTTTAGTTTACTAAGCTTTATTTTATTCTAGTTGTCTAATCTGGTCTAGTCTAGTCTGGTTTACTCTGTTGTAGTTTAGTCTGTCTAGACTAGTAAATCTATTCCACTTGTTTTATTCCATTCTGTTCTATTTAGGATAGTCTATTCTGTTGTTCTCTAATCTGCTGTACTTTTATTACTCCATTTAACTTGTTGAAATCTGCTCTTGTTACTAAGATTTATTTTATTCTAGTAAAGAGTAGTTTTAGTTTAACTTACTTTATTTTCTAGTCTTGTCTATATACTATAATAATCAATTCCACTCTACTGTTCTGTTTTCTGTTCTTAAGATATTCAATTCTGTTTTAATCTAATCTACTGCATTTGACTACTCAGGTTTATTCTTACCTATAGTCTAGCCTACTGAACTCTTTTTCATTCTAGTCACCTAATTTGGTCTGGTCTACTCTGTTGTGTTCTATTCTAGAGTAGTCCGCCATATCTCGTCTGGTATTCTATTCTATTCTATTATGTTGTAATCTGCTCTAGTCTACTAAGATTTATCTTATTCTAGTTAAGACTCTAGTTTTAGTTTAACTTACTTTATTTTCTAGTCTTGTCTATAAACTATAATAATATATTCCACTCTACTGTTCTGTTTTCTGTTCTTAAGATATTCAATTCTGTTTTAATCTACTGTATTTGACTACTCAATTTTATTCAAATCTATAGTCTAGCCTACTGAACTCTTTTCCATTGTAGTCACCTAATTTGGTCTGGTCTACTCTGTTATGTTCTATTCTGGAGTAGTCTGCCATATCTCGTCTAGTATTCTATTCTATTCTATTCTGTTCTATTCTGTTGCAATCTGCTCTAGTTACTAAGATTTATTTTATTCTAGTAAAGACTCTAGTTTTAGTTTAACTTACTTTATTTTCTAGTCTTGTCTATAAACTATAATAATATATTCCACTCTACTGTTCTGTTTTCTGTTCTTAAAATATTCAATTCTGTTTTAATCTACTGTATTTGACTACTCAATTTTATTCAAATCTATAGTCTAGCCTACTGAACTCTTTTCCATTGTAGTCACCTAATTTGGTCTGGTCTACTCTGTTGTGTTCTATTCTAGAGTAGTCCGCCATATCTCGTCTGGTATTCTATTCTATTCTAGTATGTTGTAATCTGCTCTAGTCTACTAAGATTTATCTTATTCTAGTTAAGACTCTAGTTTTAGTTTAACTTACTTTATTTTCTAGTCTTGTCTATAAACTATAATAATATATTCCACTCTACTGTTCTGTTTTCTGTTCTTAAGATATTCAATTCTGTTTTAATCTACTGTATTTGACTACTCAATTTTATTCAAATCTATAGTCTAGCCTACTGAACTCTTTTCCATTGTAGTCACCTAATTTGGTCTGGTCTACTCTGTTGTGTTCTATTCTAGAGTAGTCTGCCATATCTCACCTAGTATTCTATTCTATTCTATTCTATTATGTTGTAATCTGCTCTAGTCTACTAAGATTTATCTTATTCTAGTTAAGACTCTAGTTTTAGTTTAACTTACTTTATTTTCTAGTCTTGTCTATAAACTATAATAATATATTCCACTCTACTGTTCTGTTTTCTGTTCTTAAGATATTCAATTCTGTTTTAATCTACTGTATTTGACTACTCAATTTTATTCAAATCTATAGTCTAGCCTACTGAACTCTTTTCCATTGTAGTCACCTAATTTGGTCTGGTCTACTCTGTTATGTTCTATTCTGGAGTAGTCTGCCATATCTCGTCTAGTATTCTATTCTATTCTATTCTGTTCTATTCTGTTGCAATCTGCTCTAGTTACTAAGATTTATTTTATTCTAGTAAAGACTCTAGTTTTAGTTTAACTTACTTTATTTTCTAGTCTTGTCTATAAACTATAATAATATATTCCACTCTACTGTTCTGTTTTCTGTTCTTAAAATATTCAATTCTGTTTTAATCTACTGTATTTGACTACTCAATTTTATTCAAATCTATAGTCTAGCCTACTGAACTCTTTTCCATTGTAGTCACCTAATTTGGTCTGGTCTACTCTGTTGTGTTCTATTCTAGAGTAGTCCGCCATATCTCGTCTGGTATTCTATTCTATTCTAGTATGTTGTAATCTGCTCTAGTCTACTAAGATTTATCTTATTCTAGTTAAGACTCTAGTTTTAGTTTAACTTACTTTATTTTCTAGTCTTGTCTATAAACTATAATAATATATTCCACTCTACTGTTCTGTTTTCTGTTCTTAAGATATTCAATTCTGTTTTAATCTACTGTATTTGACTACTCAATTTTATTCAAATCTATAGTCTAGCCTACTGAACTCTTTTCCATTGTAGTCACCTAATTTGGTCTGGTCTACTCTGTTGTGTTCTATTCTAGAGTAGTCTGCCATATCTCACCTAGTATTCTATTCTATTCTATTCTATTCTATTATGTTGTAATCTGCTCTAGTCTACTAAGATTTATTTTATTCTAGTTAAGACTCTAGTTTTAGTTTAACTTACTTTATTTTCTAGTCTTGTCTATAAACTATAATAATATATTCCACTCTACTATTCTGTTTTCTGTTCTTAAGATATTCAATTCTGTTTTAATCTAATCTACTGTATTTGACTACTCAATTTTATTCTAATCTAGAGTCTAGCCTTTTCCATTCTGGTCACCTAATTTGGTCTGGTCTACTCTGTGTTGTTCTATTCTAGAGTAGTCCACCATATCTATTCTATTCTATTCCATTCCATTCTATTCTATTCTGATAATCGAATTTGCTATACTTTATTACTTTATTATTGAATTTAATTGTAATATGTTCTAGATTAATCTAGTCTGGATTACTCCATGTTCTATTCTAGAGTAGTCTGTCATATTCTAGTCTCATCAAGTGTTCTATTCTATTCTGATCAGTATACGTGCGTATAAATGTCTACTCTGTTATGTTCTAGTCTAGTCTAACATATTCTGGTCTCATCTAGTGTTGTCCGTTCTATTCCAGTCTATTCCAGTCTAATTTTTGTCCATGTACTCTGTTTCCGAGAATACAAACTCAGAATTCAATAGCTATTTTGTTGAAGATCAAAGAGTTGTGGCGTGGGCTCTTTATATCTCTGTCAGCGTGTACGCTGCCCATTAGCTGCTCTAATGACACGCAGTTCACTGTTTGCTAACATCACAAGTGCTGTTTTCACGTCCGCGGTTAGACTAACCAGCAGGAAGAGAAGACATGTGGGCGTTCAGATTTGTGTGTGACATGATGTAACCTTTTGAAAGGGTTTCATGCTTTCGTCTCTTCTGCTTTAAGTCTCTCTGTCCTATTTCCCTGACTGCACATCTGTCCACTTGTTAACCGCAGCGAGCTTATTACACACATTCTATTCATGCTGCGTTTGCGCTCTTATTGCAGTAATTGATTGACAGCTCAAAGACGCGAGTGGTGGTTCGGAGACTGTGGGCGTGATGTCAGAAGACGACACACGAGGGACCGACTTGCGTCTGCTGTATTATATTCTCTCTGATTGGGATGCGATCATATCAGGCGTACACTAGAGAGTCATGACGTACACAATTACTTAGCCGCATAAATTTTATCCCAAGTCAGATTTTTGCAAAATAGATTATTTCCCTTGAAATGCGTAATGCTGTTATTGAATTTTTGCGGCGTATCATATTTGTTGTGCTTCAATTATAGATTCAATCTCTCTAATCACGAGCGCTTAAACCAACTGTTGTTTGTTTCTCTCACAATAATGTGCTGGTCTGAAATATGGATAATAGAAGACAAAATAAGTTACATAAATATCTTGTTTCTAAGTTTTACATACCCCTGGTTGTTTAATATCACATGTTGCCTTCTTGAGCATCAATAGTGGCTTGTGATAGTTTTGTTTGAGTCCATCAACATTCATTGATTAATACAGTAATTTCGACTTGCATTAAATGAATTATGTGCACTGTGTTATCTGATTCCTACTTTAAACTCTATATTTGCCCCATATGTTTGTGTTTAAAGCCAACAACAGTTAAAAACCTAATGGAGTGATGAATTCGTCTCCTCTTACCATCTGATTGTAATCCTGAATCCGCAACCACTGCATCCAATTACCATGAGAGATCACCATCTCTCAAATTTATAGTGAATTTGCTGTCTTGAATATGAAGAAGATATTTGCATCTGAAGATGAAATGTTAATGCGTTTATGTTCTCGTGTTTACAGTACAATTCACACCGACTTCACGTTATGGGAAGTAAAAAGGGTCATTTATGGCTGTTTTGATTAATGAGGTGATACACAAAATGAGGC